AGTTGTTTGTGGTCTCTGCTGAGCTGTTTTAATTTTTACCCTTACATAGGCCCATAAGAGAAACAGTGAAACCGTTCGGGGTACTGGTTCAACCACGTTTAGATGTTTGGATGGCGTTCAAAAAAGAAAGGACAAGTTACACTTCTTGAGTTAGAACTTAGAAAAAATCAGTGAGATTTAACCCTGAAGATCTGTAAGCAACTGTATCAAAGGAGAGGCTATTAGAGGATGTAATTACATAATCTCATTGAGGAGATAATTATTCTTCCCATCTCCTTAGCTATGTCCCCAGAAGAACCCGCTTTCCTGGGGGGGGAGGGTTGATCTCCTGGCCCTGTGATTGACAGGCCTAATTGGTGCCAAGTCCATCATGGCTTGTTTGTGGAACGATGACTAGAGTAATGAGAGAATGAAGAAAGGACAGACACGGAGACACACATGCAGGAAAGCTGGGATCCAGTGACCTGTGTTGACTCTAATAGAGCATGTCTACTATGTAACAACCCAGAACGTCAACATGGTTATTCTGTACAGCAGGAAGGAGAGCTTAGCTAGTCTTGGTAGGTCTCTGCACCTCTGGGCACAAGCAGAAACTGAGGGCAGTTTAGTATATCAAAGACGGATAATGAAGATTAGATTGGGAGCTCAGACAAAACAAGTTGGTAACTGTCAGGTAGGGTACAACTTGAATCCCCAAATTTGTTAATCCCTCTGTCTCAATTTGGTCATTAGTGTGTATAATGTTTCTTGTAGAAATGCAGGAAGACAAACCCACAGCTTGCTGAGAAAGAACAGTTTAAGATGCTAAAGCACTCGGGACATTCCCACCCTTCCTTATTCCTCCATGGCTTGTATATGGCCTGAAATGCATACAGCATGCTTCCAGAGACAGTGACTTGGCAAGCACCAGCATGTCCATGTTTTGCATTTAGCATCTGCTTTTCAATTTTAGGCTGAGGTAGCATCAACAGCTCGGTCACAATGACACAAGTCCAGACAGGTGAAAACAAATCAAGTCAGGCCACAGCAGAGGACACCACTGCGCCCTAGGCGAGCCCCTTTTGGAAAGAACAGGAAATTCCCCTCCCCAAATGCTCCACCCAGGTCAGGCTGAGTGGAGGCTGGAGAAAATGGAATGTATCATTCTCAAAACATCTGAAGCTTCTTCCACTGATAAATAGGATGTGCAAACAGAGAGGGAAGGCAGATGCAAGTGCCCTATTCCTCCACCCCTAATCTTGCTCCCAAATCTCAGCTATGTATGTTTTTAACCTAGAAACTGAAGAATTAGAGACATGCCTGATCTTATTAATCAAGGTTGAAAGGTGAACTCCCTGCCAAAGGAGCTGAAAGGTTTGTGGCCCTTGTCTGATGCTCTCTGTAGATTAGGTAGGAAGCAGCTGCCTCTCTCAGGGCTCATTCACTTTACCCAGCAGGATTTCTCAGCATTTACACTGTTGATGGGCTGGTTTAATTCCCACTGGGTAGGAATGTCCGTTTACTAAGGATGTCTATCAGTCTCCCTGTATGTTTACCGGCTTGCCTCCTGCTGTTTGTGAGAATGAGAAGTGCCAGCAGTTCCCTTCACCAAGAACCATTAAGCTAAACCCAACAGCGCTGAACAGTCTGCATAGGACTGTTAGAATGTAGGAATCTTAGAGCAATTTCCACCCGCTGCCACCTCCCAGGACGGTGATAGTGAAAGAATGAAGTCTAGCTTTAAACTTCAGCTAAAAAGATGGACAATGTCAGCCCTGCCTCTGTCCCTTAGGAGCAGACTGCACTAAGGTCCACAAGTTTTGAGCTGCCCCAGTTAAGAGATGTAGCGCAGTTAACCCAGACACCTGGCCTAGCAGGAGGCCATCCATCTAGACAGGGCAGCAGCAGCCTGGGTCTTACTCTGGATGCTGGGTTATTCCAGAAAGGAGTTGTATGTGTACTTTGGGAACAGGCCATATGCAGTTCCTGCAGACCGTCTGCAGGTTGATTGGTTTAGGCAAATGACACACAATTCTCCCTCAGACAGGAGAGGTTATGTTGAAAGTCATGTTTACTTTGTAGTTTTAAAAGTTACTATCTGGTTCTGGAAACTCAAAAGTGCCTTCAGTGGCCCCTTAAGTGGTCATCCTTCCCGTGGTCATCCTTCATCCTCTCTTCCTCGAGAAGACTCAGGTTTAGGTAGGACCTGCTCTTCTGATTCCATGGTAACCTGTGCTTTCCTCAGAAAAATACTCAGCTGTATTGACCTCTGAAGTCATTTCCTTCCTCGGCAGACTAAGTTGATCTCCATTCACCCAATGTCTTAGATTTATGCTCTATTTATCAAATGAGTGCAGGTAGCCTTCCATGTCAGGGGTGTCTAAGGTCAACCTCTAGGTTTATATGGTAAAGAAATAGGACAAACCTGTTGATATCTCTGAGCCTTCAGTTTTCTTACACTATGAAGAACGTGGGTAGTAGACTCATCTCTTAGATCTGGAAGTGAATTGAAACAATGTATCCAAGACAAGCTTAATGTGGAGCATGCAGTTGCCTCAAAACTCTGTCATTTCCGTCCTTCAGTGGTTCTCAGAAGCAGCATAATTAATTGATTTTTTCCTGTTGCAAATGTTTAAAAGCATTTACCGTCTCAGAAGGTTATTTTTTTTATTTTTAAATGTATTACCTGTAATTAATAGAACCATGTACTCTCGAGTATGAATAATCAGTCAATCTTCTCCAGTCCTCTCCTCCTGCTCTTCTCTCTGCCTCTGACTATCCCTGAGGTACAGCTGAGAAAACTTCACCATGCATCATCACATATAACCTGGAGGTTTCAGATGCAAATGACTACTACAGCATGCCTGCACTCTTCCGTCTCACTCCTCTTCTCCATCCCTTCCTCCCTTCCCTTCTCTATCCCTTTCTTCCCTCCTTCTTTTTCTCTCCCTTCCTCCTATCTCCTTTTCTCACTCTTCCCTCCTTCCTATGCCCTCCCTTCCTCCTCACCTCTTTCTTTAAGAACATACTGATTTCATCTATAGTCAAAGAACTACATTAGAGCAGCCTGGCACGGCTGAGATAGGACGCTTGGCCTTAGTTACTCCACTTTGGATGTCAGTGCGATGTGAAGGACACCATCTAAGAGGGTACAGGTGTGCCAGGCCAACTGAGAGAAGGCCAAACTGAGGCTAGACCCTCGGATCACATTCCTTAGGACCATGAGATAACCAAGAAAGTGCAGGAGCAGCGCCGGCCAAGGGAACACAGTGAGATGACCCAGTGGGGAGAAGAGGTGCTGCACAAGCCTAGTGACCTGAGTTTGATCATTCCCAGAACTCACAATGGAAGGTGAGCACTGACTCCCAAGAGTTACTTACTGTCCAGCATCTGCACACACACCGACATGCGCTTGCTAATAAATTTTATGTATTTAAAAAGGAAAGAGGACGGGGCATGAGGAAAAGGAGGTGATGGACTGTGACTGCCAAGTACCACCAGTAGGTAGGGTTACCAAGACATGAAGAGAAGCAGATAGAAGCCACACCTGAGGAGCCCTTGGTTACCTGTAGGCAGTGTCACTGTCCCAGGAAGGCAGGGGCAGAGGCCTATAGATCTGGGTGTGGGTGGCAGTGGAACCCAGATCACAGCAGGAACAGTGAGCTTAAAGGAAAGACACTGTAATGTGACATGGCATTGAGGGAGCAGAGACTCAGCAAGAGCCTGTGGTGAACTCCGTGAGGGAGAGACAGGAATTGAAAAAGCAGCCCGGGCTGCAGACTGAGCAGGCAAGGAGGTGCTTGTTCCAAGTGTGAGGAGACACAACTGAGCTTGTCTTCCGTACTTTACACACGAATAGTACATGCTCATGAAGACACACACATGCACATGCTTGTGCACACACTCTTTAGCTAAGTCCTCAAAATAGTTTAGGCAAAATTCTCATTCCTCTTATTATCTGTTTTGAGGCCACCATGAGCAACCACAGGAACGTAGGGGGCTGTGAGGATAGAGCAACAGTCACCTGACAGGCTCATTCTAAAAAACAAAACTATTGTTTCTGGCCACCCAGTCACACTTCACAGGGCTTCCTCCAGTCTTCACCACTCAGCTTATTCTCTGTCAGGAAGAGAGGAGGCCTGTTTGGGAGGGACATGCCTTTCAGGAGTGTAGAACCCTTGAGTGGCACTATAATGGGAGAAATGACAGAATATGACAGCCAGGTCCCCAAGTCTTAGGTTCTCAGAACCACATGATAATTTTTTTTAAGTATTCTGTTCGTTGGGTGTTTCAGCTGAAAGTGGACAGAGTGGCGGGCAATTCCAGGGCCGGCCCTCGGAGGTCTGGTCCCAGTGGCAGAGCCAGCATCATGGACAGCAGAGCGGTGAGCAGCACTCCCACCAGCAGCCTGGCCAGACTGAAGTGTTCCAGGTAAATCCAGCGAGCAGCGCCTTCTCGTAGGTGTAGGTACCTGCGCCTTCTCTGCTTCCTTATGTCCCTTTCTGCACCTCTGCCTGCCCTGCCCGGTAGCCAGCAAGAGATCCCACCCAGCCTGCAATATGGGGAGCCCACAAGTGGAAGGAAAGTCCTGTCCTGCCTAGTCAAAGCCTTCAGGTACACAGGAGAGGCACAGGAACCATCAGCCTTTCAGCTGCACTCACACAGGAGAGGCTGCATCCTGAATCATAGCCCCGAAGTTGTCCAGGAGGGGTGTATGGAGCCAGAGACAGTAGGAGGGTTCATCTTGGAGCAGGGTTCATGCCCCACTAAGAGCTAGAGACTCTCAGAGCTCACTATGTGCAATATACATAGAGCTGCAGGTACCTGGGGGCTTGATTGCCTCAGTCTATCTCCTCTTCACTATGGCAACCAGGAAGAAGGACTCTCATCCCCAGACACTTAGCCCACGGCAGCTGGGCCAGGGCTCAACTCTCTAGGCTGAGAGTCTAAGGCTACTTCCAGACCTCCACTGTTAAAGACTTGCCTTGCTGTTCTTAGTTCTTAGCACAGACCAATCTTACTGTGCTGGTGACAAGGACATGACCTTGCCTATCATACAGGACTCAGCCTCCCAGGTTTTCCTGGAACATTGTAAGTGCAGGTATGAGTCCATTAACTTTCTTCAGCTAGAGGTGGGCCTGCCCACCCAGTCTTTTAACAGCAGCCCAAGCTCCTCTGGGGGACCCTCAGAGTGCTGTCTGCCCTGTAGAGCAAAGCTCCAAGAAAAGAGCCAAGGTGTAGGAGGCTCAGGTCATACTCTTCCTTAAGACTCAGTGCTACACACACACACACACACACACACACACACACACACACCTCCTACTAGGTCAAAGTCTAGAGCCAGTTATCCCTCAGGGGTCCACCTGGCTATATTCCCTTCCTAGTACAAGGAAGTGCCTTTCCCAGCCCTCCGGATGGCTTTCCTCCCTCCTCCCACTGTAAAGACCAGCCCCTACCCACCTTCATGACTTAGGGAGGCCCTAAAAGGCATTAATTCCTAGCAATGTATCTTCAAGGTCATCCCACTAAAAAGAATTCTTGGTTAAATAACTTTGTGAAACACCAGTTAAAGCAAGTTATTCAGTTTCTTTCTTGCAGGATTTATCAGATCCTTTATTATACCAGACAAGCATGGCTTTCTAGGAGGTAGGGAAGCGTGCCTTGTTTCCCAAGCATGTTTGTCCACAGAATTCTTTTCTCACCATTATCACGTGGGCTGGGAAGCGGACAAAGCACAGTGGGACTAATGCCCTACAGAATTGGAACTCCCTAATATTTTCAGAGCAAGTCGTCTAAGGTCTAACAAACTAGGACTAGATAAAGTAACTGACCTTCCACTCTGGGATGGCATCACCCCCCACAGGCCACTGTGCCCAGGCCACACATGCTCAGGCTCCTATTCGGTTGGCGGTCACATGGCTGTCCAGTCTTAACTATTGTTGTAAGTTCTGCTTGCCTAGCTGAGTTCTTTCAACCCCTGGGCCTGGTTTAGCTTCAGAAAAGGTTTGTGTTCTAGTATTGTTTGCCTTCAGCATGAGTCTCCCCAGGGGAGTGGCTCCCAGTGCGGTCGGGTATTGAAGCCTCCTAAAGAGCAGCCTTGTACACCTGTACACTAAGCTAATCAAAGGAACATCTGCTCACTAGAGAGATGGTCAAGGGGATCAGTCAGTGGCAGGCTGGACTCCGGGACAAGGGCAGGCTCTGGGTGAGGTCACTGACCCCTGGGACTTTCTGTTCTTCTCCTCTCCAGGACATGCTACCCATGCCGGGCGACCCGACGCAGGGGACTGGCAACTATAACATCGAGGACTTTGCTGACCTGGGCATGTTCCCTCCATTTTCTGAGTAGCTTGAGGCAAAGCTAGGCTTCTACTGCCCAGGCACTATTATCATGCCATAGATGCCTGTGTTCAAAGAGGGCCCCCCTCACCCAACTTGCCCTGCTGCAGAACCCCAGAAAACTCCCTTATTCCCCATCTTCCCTGGACATGGCATCACCTGGCTCTAACCCACAGCCCTGGCTTCTTGGGTTGGGTATCTTTGTATTTATTGTACTTTATCTGTGTGCTCGGAAGGGGGCCTCCAGGGTCTTAAATTTCATTCTGAATGATCTATTAATGAACAGTTTGCACCCGTCAAGTGTTTGCTTGATCCACAATGGCGGGCAGCACCAGCGGGTCTGCCTGGCGCAGATGCTGGGCTTCTTTCTGCTTTTCACAGCTGCTGCCTGGAGGCTTCATGTCAGAGTGAGAGGCAGTAACCTCTGCATTCTGTGCTGGAGCCAGGAACACAGGATGTGAGGCTCCCACACTCACCGTCCTTGATGGCCTGGGGCCAGGTATGCTTTAAACAGTGAGGATCAAAGTTGTGGCTTGGTAGAAGTACTGTGGTGTTGGTGTGTGTGGCCAGTGAGAGTGAGAAGCCATCCCCATTCAGCTGCATTTCCAAGGCAAGCCTGGGAGCTGGGCTGACTCCCCAGAAGTCAGGGCTGGGGAGCCGCTCACTCTATAAATCAGTTCTTTGGTCCCCTGCCCTTTTACAGACATCCTCCATTTCTTAAAGTTTCTAGTCCTTCCTCCTTGTGACCTTTTAGAGGGCTCACACTTCTCTTACTAGGCCTGGGTGACAGCCGATTCCATGAAGGTCACTGCATCCTCCCTGCTCAGCAGCAGAGCAGAGATGGTTTCTGCCCAGCGCCTTCAGGAAGTCAGACCTGGCCCTCTGTACAGGGTTATGATACCTCTCTCCTAACTGTCCCTGACACCTTCTGCTCAGTAACCTGGAAAGGAGATTGGGCCACACTCTGGGTGGAAAAGGGTGCCCTGGGCCACCTGAGCCTCTGTCCTCAGCAGGCAGGAGAGGCAGGAGTATCTCAGGGGGGACACAGCCAGGCCTGTGAGGCCTTGTTTCTACAAAGACCTGAATTTCTCAGTGGTCTTAAGGTAGAACTCTGAGCTAACTTCTGGAACAGCGGTTCTCAGCCTGTGAACTGTGTTGGAGGATCAAACAACCATTTCACAGGGGTCACGTCAGATATCCTGCATATTAGACATTTATATGATGATACATAACAGTAAAAAATTACACTTATGAAATAGCAATGAAAATGATTTTTTGGTTGAGGAGCATCACTACATCAGGAGCTATATTAAAGGGTCACAGAGTTAGGAAGGTTGAGAGCCACTCACTGTTCTAGAAGCTTCTGCCTGGCTTATCTCTGACATCAGAGTCCCTGTGTCAGTCAGATTTTAAAGAGCTTTCAGATTCCACCCATTCTACCCTGCCCCTACCCCACTCCATGTGCTGCTGTGAGTTCTCTCTGCCTCCTTTCACTCAATGGACCCTCACCTCAGGTATCAGCCCACTGATGCCCAAATGTGGGAGAAGCCACAGAGCTTCACAGGCAGGCTCTGGAGTCCTCTAGAGTCCGTTCAGGAACCCCTTGGTAGAGCTGTGGAGGTGCACACTCTCAGAACAGACCTGCTGTGCTGCCTGGATCCTTGGATGCTGGGAGTACAATAGGCTCCAGGATGCACAGGGACAGAATGAGCATGTAGATTAAGAGCCAGGGAGAGCACCACTCCATTCAGAAGCTCAGCTCTGCCGGACATTGAGGGAGCACCAGTGTTTGTACAGGACTCACTTGCAAACTTTACTTGGCTCAGCAGACTGCCCTTGGCAGCAACCCACCCTGTTCCTGACAAATTCCAGCCCCAGAGATCCTCAAAGCAGCTTTGACTCCTTCCGTGGAGAGTAGTGACACAGTTGGAGCTTCATCTTAGCCTTAGAACCCCCCAAACAGTCTCCTGTGTGTGCTCCCTGGTTCAGCTTCTGTCCCCAGCAGCCTGGAGCTGGCCCTAGGTGGTGAGCATAAGTTATAAAAGGAAAAAGCCCAAAGCTAGCTTCAGGAGCAAAGAATGCTTTCCAGTGATGAGAACAGCCATGGCCTTTAGCTGGTGAGTTAAGAGGTGTGGGAGCTATGGGTTTGGTTTTATTGCCTTTAGTGGGAAGTGGGGGCTTTTCTTGGGTGTGACATGGGCTGTCACACTGCCTTAGGGCACTAAGGTCTGCAGAAGAAATAGGACAAAATTCTTGCTTACAATCATTTCATGTCTTCTCTCTGTTACAAAGTTGAAGGTAAATCCAACCCAGTCCTTGGTCCTGGGGAGCAGAAGGGGAGGATTCTTGGACAACCACAAGCCAGATAATAGCAAGCACTGCTTTAAATGGCTCCTGCTCTCCCTGCCCCGCCCCCACCCGTCTTATCTAGGGAGTTCCACAGGCTAGAAGGTGGGGATTTGGACTCACCTGAGTTCTGGTTCTTGTCTATACCTCTTCTGCTTCTACGTTGTGATTCTCAAAAGCCACATGTGGAGGAGGCAGGGGAGAAGCCAGAAACGAAGAATCCCATCCCATAAGGACTTCTCTCAGCCAAGTATTTTTGAAACACTCGGGATTCAGAATCAAAGCTGTTATCCTACAAAAGCTATCCCTTCATATGTCCCCTGCAGAGGAAGCCAATATACCGATCCTCCAGTTAATATCCTTCCAGCTACCTGTCCTGGTGATGGTCTTAGCAGGCTAGTGGGTTAGGGTATGTGGGCTTCCTGTGGGGATAGGGTATGTGGGCTTCCTGTGGGGGTAGGGTATGTTGGCTTCCTGAAGTTCTGTACCTCATCACTTCATTTGCTGCTGAAGTCCAATTAGCTCCTTGTAGGTTGAGCAAGCAGGAGGGGGACATGCAAGGACCACCTGAATCATTGGCAAGGGCACAGGAGCTCCAGAAGAACGGGCCAAAGGCTGCCAGGCCTGCCAAGGATGGTTCTAGATCCCTGCCTCAGTGTCACTCCTGCTTGTTTCCTTGTGGTTTCATGGAGTGAGTGAGCCAGTGTCAACACCCACATTCACTATGCTCAGCTCAGCCTGTTCTTGCATCATAAAGTGACTATTGTGGGTGGTAGTATTTGGATTGGCGACATAACATGCTGAGGAGCTCACACTCCCCTGACATTAGAAGACAGTAAGGCCCCAGGTTAGCCCACTGGCAAGCATCCATGCTCCCTCCAGCTTGGAGCTAGAGATCTGGCAGGTCTAGGCTCTGTAATCTCCTGCAGCGCAGTCCAGCCAATGAGCAGTAGCCACTCCCAGTGTGAGCTCACCTGTTTCACGACTTCTACAGCCTGTCTCGCAAGCAAAGACAAGTCATTGGCTAATCACCAATAGCAAGGCAAAATTAAAACCCTCTTTGTACGTGGCCATGGGTTGCTATGTCCTAACTTGCCAGTCCATCCTCCCCTCCCCTCCCAAGCTGATGCTCACCTGAAAGTGCCACCACTGAAGAGCCTGAGGTAGGAATGGTCATGAGCTCAGGTGTTCAAGACCTACCTGGGCAACATAATGAAACTAATCATAAAAGTAAATATATAGCTCAGTATCTTGGCCACACTTAATGTTCTGAGGAGTCACCCGCTCCCTGGCTGCCCGCTTCCTCCATCGCCTAGAGTCTGGGACAACTTTAGCGAGGTTGCTCACAAGGGCATGGGCACATTTCCACATGTGACATGCCATGTCTTGTGCCCTAAGCTAGGTTTGTTCAGGTAGCCTGCAAATCCTTGTGGGTACTGGCTACAGCAAAATGGAGCTTTTCACAGGTCATGCAGGGCCCAGCAGTTTGCTTTGTCTAACCGTGTTTCCTTTAAAAAAAAAAAAAAATCTTCACAAGCAGGCTTCCAAGAACAGCAAGCACTTACTCATCTCTCTCTCTCTCTTAGCCTTTCTTATGGATGTGAACTGTGCTGTGGGTAAATCATTTGTATTTCTTGAATGTTCTGTATGACTAACAGGTATTAAGTCACTGGGTGTATGTATAACTAATGTAACTGCCTTTTAAATTTTCATTACAATAAAAAATGACTTTGCTCTGAACAGTGAGTGCCTTGGACTAGCTTGGTAATTGATCAACTTGAGGTGCCTGCCCCTGGGAGTCTGGGATAAGCCACACTGTGCAGTACAGGCATGCTAAAGAGCCACCTGTTGCTTAGTGTTAACTACTTAGAACAGAAAAGGAAACTAATGATTCTTGAGATTCGATGTAATGCAAGGCTCTCTAGAAGTTTCTCTGGACTGGACTTCACAAACACTAAAGGCAATTACTTTTCTAATAACTTTAAAGAGAATGCCTGGAAGAAAGTACCTCTGAATCCTATATCTAAGGAAGACTTGTGTCTGGTAAATGCAAGGAACTGCTCCTACAACTTAAGACAGAAATCTTAGTACCAATAAAAATAGCTGAACATCCCATGCCCATGTTCCTTTCAAGAATTCAAATACAGGCTGCTGGGTGTGGCACATGCCTCCAATTCCAGCTTCAAGCAGGCTGAGGCAGGAGGATTGTCTGAGTGAGCCCAGGAGTTCCAGACCAGCCTAGGAAACACAGTGAGAAGCTATCTCAAATACATACATGCTCACACACAACAAACACACATATGACATTCTGGGTTAATATCCTTAGTTTTAAAGAAACACAAACTAAAAATTCAATGAAATCATGTTCTAATACATGGCTAAAATTGGTTAAGAAAAGAAATCTTCATTCATGAGAAATAGTACAGCCTCCTCATATGGAGATTTCTTACAAGTTTTAATAGGACTTTTTCTTAGTTTTTTTTTTTTTCTATTGATGTGATAAAATGCCCTGGCAAAAGCAACTTAAGGGAGAATGGGGTTTATTTTAGTTCACAGGTCTACACAGGATTCATCATGGTGGAGAAGTCAAGGCAGTGTAAGCTTGAATCAGCTGGTCATATCTCATCCACAGTCAAGAAACAGGGATGAAGGTGAATTAGTTTCCAGCTTACTCTCCACATTTTATTTGGCCCAAGATCCCATCCAGAAAATGGTCCTGCCCAAACTTAAGTCTGGTCTTCCCACATCAATAATCCTATACCACCCCACTATAGACATGCTCCAGGACCGTCTGCCTGTGATTCTAAATTCCATCAAGTTGATAATTAATGCTAGCCATCATAGACCTATCCATTAGAGTCAATATAGCTTATAAAAGTATAAAATTATTTTTAAAAAGCAAATTGCCCACCAGAATGGGAAGAAAACA